AGCTCGGGGCCGCCACCAGGAATCGCTGGGTGCGATGGTGAGTGCACGCCCCCGTCCGCCTTGCCTCGCTTAGACTCTCCTCATCCACACCTCTCCCTTCTCACCCTTCTGACACCCTCCGCTCCCTCAGATCCTCCTCATCCTCATCTCTCCCCTCTCAGACCCTCCTCATGCTCAGCTCTGCCCCTCTGTTCCCGCAGGAGCACGTCGGGGGACACGGTGGAGCTGGTGGAGGAGTCCCTGGACGTGAACCTGCTGAACAACGCCGTGCGGCTGCGGATCCAGGGCTGCCCGTTCCTGCCGGGCGGGATCCACCTGTGCGAGGTGCAGAGTCACCTGGTGGTGCTGCTGCTCACGGCGCAGACCGTGCACCGCCTGCTGCTCCCGCACCCCGCCCGCCTCTACCGCAGCGTGAGTGCCGGGAATGCCGCCCGGACCGGGGCAGGGGACCCTGTCAGCACAGGGAGGGCTTGGGAAGGGGTAGGCGACCCAAAATACAGCGTGAATAAGAAGAAAAGTGGAGATTTGGGGAATTTAGCTGTGTTTTGCTCAGGAACTGGTTGGGTGTCCAGCCTGTGTCATGACACTGGAGTTGAGCTGCTGCTGGGATTGAGCCTCAGCTTTTCCAGAGCCCTTCCTGGTTGGATTGTCTTTTTTTTTCCTCAGCTGAAAAGGCTGCAGGCTGATTTTGTCTGGGTTGGAATCTGTACATGGCAGATAGATCCTTGCCAGGGTTTATATCACATTTACCATCATTCCGTGGATGTGGATTGGAGCTGGATGGTATTTAAGGTCTCTTCTGACTGAAATCATTGCAGGATTCTGTGCTTCTCCCCATTTGCTCTGACTTTTCCTCTAGTGCCTGCTTTTTACCAGGATCCTCTCCTCTCTTGGAGAGCTTCTCTCTTGCTTTTAAAACTCTGGGGAGCTTTCCCAAGGGATGACCCTGTGCTGTGGCAGAGCTGCTCTTCCTGGGATGTGTCAGCAGCAGTTTTTCTCTGAGCTATGCCAGAGATTTTTTACTGGAAAAGTCAAGGAGACAGTTGCCATTCCATCGATGTCTGCTGTGTTTTTTTTTTTTTTTCCCTGCGTGTTAGGTATGTGTGCTCAGGATTTCATGTTTTATGGAGTCCAGCACTGCCAAGGCCACCCATGTTCCCAGGCACCACATCCACACAGGATGGGAATTCCACCACTGGAGCCTGTTCCAGTGTCTGATAACCCTTTCCATGAAGGAATTGTCCCTGATACCCAACCTAAACCTCCTCTGGCACAACTTGAGGCTGTTTTCTCCTGTTTCCCCACAGGAGCTGATAACAGAGAGCCAAGTGCAGTCCGTGTTTACAGATATCAGCAAGATCCACATCAGGGATCCCTCCAATTACTACGTGATTCCCAGCGTGCCAGGGCTGGCTCCCAACTCTGTGGCCTCTGCAGCCTGGCTCAGCAGTGAGGGGGAGGCTCTGTTTGCCCTTCCCTCTGCCTCAGGAGGGATCTTTGTCCTTAAGCTGCCTCCTCCTGATGCTCCTGGTAAGGATTGGGCACTACAACCCCTCTCCTGTCTTGGAGTTTCACTTTATCTTCATTTTTGATTTTCCTTTTGTTTTTGAAGGAAGTGTTTCTTTTGTGGAGTTGAAGCAGAGCTCGGTGGTGCAGCGTTTCCTCACAGGCTGGATGCCAACTGCCATCAGGTGAGTGCCTGGGGATGGATAAACTGAGCTAATTTTGGCTTTTGGATCCCCTCACCTGGAATTTTTAGCTTGAGCCACACAGGCACCTATAAATACTCCACCCAACAAAGTTAAGGGGGTCACAGGAGCTATCAGAATACGGAAGTTGGGAGTGGAATGCTGGATTAGCAGGGTCCTGCTGTTCCATGTGTCTGTGAACATGTTCTCTAGTAATTGGCCTTCAAGGATTTGCCCAGGATGTGGCTCGCAGCCAGCATGGATTAGGGATTACTCTGCCCTGGTGCTGAGGAGCCAGGCGTATTCCTGACGAGCAGAGGTTACGTGGGGATCACACGGATGCTGCGTGGTGGGTTGGGATCTTTAGGGTGGCTTTGGGAGCAGAGCTGAGTCCTAGAGCCTTTTTCTTGGAAGTGGGGGTGAGTCCTTTGATGCCCTGAGTGACTTTGGCCATTGTGGGGGTGTTGCCCAGGGTCTGGCAGTATCCTTGCCAGGATCCTAGCGGGATCCATCCTTACAGATTGCTCTCCTCAGTTTGCTGCTTTTTATACTTTTTGGGCCTGAAGCTGCAATGGTGTCCTTGGTTCTTGGGTTAGAAAAGGATTGTGTTGTCTAACTAAACTGGGAAGAGAACTTGCTAACATTTCTGAAGTTTAGAGTTCTATACTGATGCAGTATGGAACCTGGAAAACGTGAAAGCTAAAACTCAAGGCATCATTTGGGGCTGTCAGGATCCTTGCTCATGGCTTCTTGGGTCCTTGTCAGGGGCTGGCAGGATCCATGCCAGGACTGCTTGGATCCTTTTTTCCTTCTGGATCCTTCACCTGTGTTTTGCAAGTACCAGACTGGGGATGGGGAAATGGGAATCTGCTTCAGTTCCACCAAAGCAAGTGAAAAACTTGGTGTCACTGGTGTGGTGGGATCCTCTCCTCTGTGGATGCTGAAACATTCCCTTCTCCTGATCTCACCTAGTGGTTTATTTGGATTTAAGCACAATGGAAGAACCCCACTGCCTTGGATCTGTGCACCTGCCATGATTTTAGCATCATGAAATCCTGGAACAGCTTGAGTTGAAAGGAGCCTTAAAGCTCATCCAGTCCCACCCTGGATGGGACACCTTCCACTAGACCAGTGTCCAGGCTGGGTTTGGATACTTGCAGGGATGGAGAATTTTCTTTGAAGGTGTTGATGTAACCTCTGGTTTTCCAGGGGCGATGGCGGCCCCTCGGATGTGCCCGTCAGCCTCTCGGTGCACTGCCTGGATCACGATGCCTTCCTCTTCGCCCTCTGCCAGGACCACAAGCTCCGCATGTGGTCCTACAAGGTGAGCAGAACCTGGGGTTGGGGGAGCAAAACAAAGCCCAGGGAATCACAGATGAGTGCTTGGCATGGATCTGTGTCCCTTTAAATTGTGGCTGTGGCTTCTGCATACTGGGATTTGGGACAGTATGTGAGAACAGTCGTGGTGTGTGTTTGTAGCAGTGTCAGTGAAGTGAGGGGTTTCCTGCCCAGCCTCATTCCTGTAAGCATACAGTTTGTGGGAATTGGGAGTGGGGGCTGCAGCTGTGGAAAGCAGGTGAGCAGTGTTGAAGGTAATGAGGTGTTACTGACCAATCACCAAAGGGAACAGAGGGCTCACATGTGCAGTGCATCAGCAATAAGAGGTATGAAAGGTTGGGCTGAAGAACAAGATGAGCAG